ATTCACTTCAGCTAACATGGCAAGTACCATCGTGATTCGGTTGTTAGAAACGGTGCTCAGGTGGCAGTTGTGATACCTGGAAGAAAACGAAGACAAGCCGCGTGAAATGTCCCAGCGCTTCCAATGAAATTGATGTGACTGGTTATACTTTCACGCATTGGCGCCTTCTATTTTTTACTTCTGTACACAAATTAGATTTGCAAAGAGAAACTAGTTGTAAAATAGTGATTTAACGTGCTGAAGATCAAACGGGCTTTGAATGTCAAATGGCCCAGAAATCATGGTGTTTTCTCGTTTGGATGATACCTTTTTGAAACGCGCGTTTAATAAAACTCGGGCAACATTTCCTGGCAGCGATGGCGTAAAGGGCGTCGTTGTCACGGTTTTATGGAGGCATATATTAACATTCGGTGATGAAATAAACATACCTGGTTAAGAAAAGGGAACGCTAAAAAGTGACGAAGACAATAAACGAAAAGAAGCCGCGCATCAAAGACCTTTCCTCGGAGGCATGTTGTTTGCGCTGTCCATACCTTGTCCAGACCCGCGTTTTATGGCAGACTGTAGTTATGGTAACGCGTAACCGGAAGTAGGAAAACCGATGATCGCATCCATCACAGCTCAAGTGATTCCCTTCAATCAGAAACAATTCGATTCGTGTTAGTCTTGATGCACGATTTTTATTTTTTAATTATTAACAAATACGTGTGGAAACACGAAAATACCAGTACCTATAGGGGCTGTCCTTGACCGCGGTCTGAAAGATTTAAACCACCTTGGCCTCTGTCGCTAAATAATAACTGCAGACCTCGCTAGTTTATTCAACATATGAGTGAACATTTAGCCATTCAACTGACAAAAACGTTCCTTCCAAACAATCATCGTTCAATGATTTTTTGTATTACTTTTCAGTAGTTCTATAAAAAAAGTTGTTTCTTAAAAAAATTGCTCCCACAAGTTGATTTAAATTGATGGGCCAATTTCGCGAAGGCGAACACGTTCAAATGACCAAAAAAACACTCTTGCCATGCTGCTTTGCAGAGCTTATTGGTTTAGTAATGCACACGCAAACTTTATGTTGCCAACGAGTGGGCGTGGTCCAACACACAGATAAATCGATTAAAATATCTCAAGCACGCGTTGTTGTATATAAAATGTACCTTAATCACCAAGTATACAAATCTGTTATCGATTTTAGATCCAATAACAACACCTTTTTCAACTGAGGGAAATCAGGTAATCCCGCGGATTACCATATATCACAAGATTGTGTGACGACAATGTTTATACATTGGCGTCATGATACGGTACACGGCGGTTGGTTTAATTCTGTCCGTGAATTCGACGTTGGCTCATATGCGCCGATGTCATTTAAAATGTGGGTTACCATTATCGTTAATGCCAACTCGTAGGGTGGTCTCTTTCGAACAAGTCGTGACGCAGGAAAGCATTCTCATGACGCTTCTCTACTTTAAAAAGTTATATTGTAATTTATGAAGACGGTTTCAATCTCAGAATCAATTGAGAACACGTAGTTATTGTGTTATTGCGCTATTGTCGTGTTTTTTGAATAACGATTTATTGCTCAATGTTAAGTTAGAAGACTTGATAATCCCAGTAGATTTAACCTCATTTAACAAGTTGACAGAAAAAGATTGTTTAAAAATATTTACATTCGTTTTCAACCAGTCAAAACACTATAACGTAATTATAAGAATTCTACGGAAGGAATGGAATTGGTGGGTTGTGATGTTTGTGCATTGGCAACGATTTGCTTTATGGAAGTCTTGTTACGACTTGCAACAACATGGAGGGACACCAATGGAGCAGAAGACTCCAAATATTTCTGAAGATGGCTAATTGGCAACGACATGCCCCCAAAAGAGCTCTCTCACCGTCTCTCAAGGGTAAAACTGTTTTTCTGCGAAACTAATGTAGCGTTGGGGTCGGCGCTTTGGTCGTGACTTTAATCGGGACTGAAAAGAGGGTTCAATGTAGCCTTGGTGAGCTTTGTTCTACTGGAAGCAAAAGAATTCAGCGGTGTGTTTGGCAAAGAGAACTGGTGTCAAGACGGTGCAGCCACAACGGTTATGTTCCTCGGCAGCGCTATCCACCGTGTCGAGATGCCCCTATTGAGACCTCATTGTAAGGTGCGCCGCTCGTGTGATGGTGAGCCAAGTGAATGGGAAATAAAGAAACCGTTTAAGCAATCATCATGCGACAGAAAGAAAGTAATTCCTCCCTCGGCGATTCTCGGCATTCCCCCCCCCCCCGAGTATGTGAATTGTATTGGAGCTTTTGGAATGTAGTACCCCTATCATTACATGCCGCGTATCGCTGCCGAGGCATTATACAGCTCACACAATGCTTCGCCGCTGTGGATAGAAAGTGTGTAGGGTATTGGAATTCCTAGTGCTAAAGAAAATATTGTCTTTTAGTGCCTTTCAATCGTTACCTTTAATTGAGAGGAGAATATGAAAAAGTGTGCCGGCTAGAGGTGTGCACCCACGCGCGTCGTCTGTGCCCACTTCCAAGTACAAACAGACTTTTGTTGCTCAAGAAACAATCGGGCGGCTTGGCGATAAATATTTGATTGTCCCTTTTCCCCGTGACACGTCGGCTTCGGTTATTTCAATGGGCCAATTGGAGGAACCCCAAGAAGCAATAAGTGAAGTTGTACATGACAACAACAATGGAATGGGTGGCCTCGGAACAGAATGTTGCAATGCATTTTGTTTTTGGTGTTCACGCGTGCATTTTGGGGTGTAAGAATGCACGCGTTATTTATTCATCGGGGGGAACAATACCGCTGAAGGGTAACCCGATCCGCATAGCAATGAGATCGTCCCTACATCTATAAAACTGTTCACTATTCTTGTCTACCCGAAGTGAGGCAAACTTAGTGTGAGTGGTATTCAGATACTTATTGAATCCTCAAAAAAAAAAAGGTGTCATCATGATAATGGACATTGTTCTATGTACTACACGTGGTCGTATTAACTAATTATTTATACATGTGCGTATGCAACTATCTTCGCGCGAATTTTATGTTTTATTGGACGAGATCCAAATAATATTACAGAACAATCTGTCAGGTGGTCGAGTACTTGATATACGTACGCGCTTTTGTACGTTTATTGATTACAAAAATAGCAAGACAACTTTGTGAGAGCCGGATATGCGAATATTTGTTTTAATTCCCTCGCTATTTGGTATGATTAACGGTTTTATCGCTCCCGATTGTAAAATAGAAAAGAATAAAAAAAAAACGGGTTTATTTATTTCCGATTAAATACACACCCGGCTGGCTTGATACGCCCACTGTGTTCCTAGTTTAGTCCTTGCTTTGGTTATTACCAACCCGATCAAGCTTTGGGATCCTATGATAGGATGTGCGGTATTATCCGTGTGACCTGTGCTAGTCTGGGTACCGGTGTAGGTGAACCTCCTTACAAAGGCCAGCAACACGCGACGAAATAGACCCGCTAAATATACAACTAATCAAAAAAAAAAAAAAAAAAAAAAAAAAAAGTAAAAACACGTCATCAATGAAATGTTACACCGGATGTCACGTGAACCCAAAACGAACACTGTATAAGTTCGTGTTGTAGAATTTTTATTTTATTAATGAAAAGTTACTGAAGGTCGGGTTATACTGCATGGGTTACTTTAACACGTACTAAATGGAACGTTTGTGAATGCTCCCTGCCCGATCGACAATGGCGTACATGATTCGGGGAGACAGCCCGAATGGTTTGAGTGGTGGGCTATTTGTACAGTTTTCTGACAAGGTTGTGAGAGCTTCCATTCTATCGATTATTTACTTTTCTTTCTTCTTTTCCACCCAAATAAAAAAAACGAGCAGTGTTGAAAGTGACTAATGACTTCGTGTGTCTGTTTAAAAGACACAGTAAGGCGTAGCAACAATAGAGTCTATAGGTGGTCGCGGGAAGAACAGGGAGGGGTTGTGAAAACACTCTAGCGGGCCCTTACTTCACTCAAGTTTTAGTAACGCGTTTGAAGCCTGGCGTATATCCCGTTTTGGGAGGGGGGCTTCTTTGTGGGGGGAAATATGGCAGCACATAACTCTGCGGATTTACAAATCACCTCGACTGCCATGTATTGTTATTCTTGGTCTTATCCCAATCGTCTTTCAGTCCAGCGGGTCCATTGTTGGCGCTACGTCGGCGAAATGCCTTCACATTCATCCGAGGAGAGACCCATTGTTACGCGTCTCAGTGCAGCTCAATGGCACAGATATTTTACGAGTACAAAGTTGAACAATTGTTCATTTCGTTTGAGGGGCGAGTTCGTTGCACTCAGTCATTTTAAAGGTAGGCTGTAATGACAATAGGGTTCCTCCATACACTAGACTATGCAGGCACTAGTGGCCTTATTACCTCTGTCATTACTCTTGGTGCAGCCTGAGGCGTGACACGTGATCAAAAATAAGATTAGTGATGGGAAGTAAGAGAGGAGGGGGAGGTGGGGTAGGGGGCGTCGGACAGATGTAAACAAGTTGGAGTTACGCGTCTACATGCTTCAAAACTTGACTCTTTACCCCCCCCCCCCGAGCTCCATAATCAACAGGAGGCGATAGATTGTTATAGGATGAAAACTGTATATATTTGGTTCGTGGTCAGTTGAAGGCTTATTGAACAGTTTCTGTATTTGGATATTAACATGACTATGTAAACACGTACCCTAGGCCCAATTATGTTTTAAATGAAACCGTCTTTACATTCAACTTCCAATCGACAACGTAAATTTTGTCAGGGCATATATATACTTACAGCGAGTTACGGCCCGCGCATCGTCCAGGGTTGACAATATTTACAGCGTGTCTGTATTTTATTTTATTTATGAAAGCGACAATGCACCACCGGTGTGTGCAGCGAGTGATCCGATTGATTAATATCATACACTCACAGTTGGCCATAGAGGGCGCGACAACAGGTCCTTTCCCCCGAGTTGCTCAGTTCATTACGAGTATATAAACGGCTAACAGACGACGTACTACGTATGTATGGTCTGACATCGAGCTCAAACTTCTCTCGTGCTCCAATTGTTGCTGTGTCGCGTCGTCGATAGCTTGTTAAACTTGCCGCTGCTTGATACGTTATTAGCCGACGTTCATTCGGTGTGGTCAAGGCGAAGAGTGAGTTTTACGCGGAGCAAATCGTGCATGGTAGTTACGTTCCGTTGTTTTTTTTTTAGCGCAAAGACCAGCCACGTCTATACGTTCTTTAGTCTATTAGCGTGTACACCGTTGTGTTCTTTACACCTTGTGTGCTTTATCTAATGCATGTAGTAAGGGGATACTAACTTTACATGCGCAAACCTGACCAGCTCTTTCTCACCTGTACGTAAGCTGGATTCTCAACTTTGAACATTTCAACTCAGGGAGAAAGGTCGTACCTTTCTCGCTATATTTTACCCAGACGTGGAAAATTCACTGCTGGATATTACGACGAATTTCCACTCGATTCAGAATGAGGGGTGGACCATGTCTGGTGCAGCCGGGCAAGCGCTCATGTGTGCTCTTCTGTTAATCTCCGTGTCGGTCTTGAAGTGCCAATCAGCTCCCTTGGATAGCAAAGCTAAGGAAGGCGACAATGTTATCATGCCAGAGACAGAGGAGGACATTTTGGACCCAGATTGGCTCGCTAGTAAGCTCAGCCAGTACAATGACTCGGCTTATGAGATGCAAGCTGACGGACGTTTTATTAGCCATGTAAAGGAGAAACCGAGGCTACGAATGTTCTACAGCCGTGGCGGTTACCACTTGCTTATACTGACAAACGGGACAGTTACTGGGACTAACTCGAGGGATGATAAATATGGTAAGTTCAAAGCGATGAAATACACTTTAAGCGACTGTCAAACCATCGGCTATTCTAAACACTAAGAAACAGGACAAAAACATTCACGGTGGTCAGCTTATGTTATTTTCTGTTATGAAATGGTCAATGTGGGAATGAGGGGGTGCGGGGCTCCTTTAAAACGTGATGCTACATATTCTCCGTGGCGGTAAAAAAAATGAAGTGTTTCTGGCAAGCCAATGAATGATCAAGTTGGTTTAAATTGTGTGGACGGTAACGACGAGAAATGATAGTATTCTGTATTTAAGCACCCTAAACGTGTCGAGACACGATCCCCGTTGCCGTCAAAGAGTTACTGCATGGTCCAAACCAACCTTTCCCCCCAACACTCAATCATGTTAAATAAGTAGGGAGTTCAACGGCATATCAAATATATGGCAGCTTTATACAACATGTGACATTTATTTTTATACGACAGTTCAACATTCGCGTTTATTTTTGCTAACGACATCATATTTTCTGAAAAACTACGTGTTCATTTTGTTGATTTAAAAATCATTCACTAAACAGCTTGTTCTTGACCACTCAGGCCACTTCCAAAAATACGTCAAGGTATACCACCAATGGTGGCAATTTAAATGACAAGCCCGCCGCGTAAGCACTTTCGGTTTCTGAAACCGGGGTATGACGCATCACACTGGCGGCCTCGATACGCGTAGACTGGTCATCATCGCCGTAATAACGTCTATCATGGATCGGTCGTCAATAAGCTACTTATTTCTGTCTAAATTCGAAAATTCCGTCCACTGGTCAGTTGAAATGCCAGACCTGCACGATTCCGCCAGCTTATTGTTGAAACAAAAATGTGTAAGGTAAAAAAAAGGTAACGGGAACGTCATTCTAGCCATACGAGCAGACATCGACGTTCGCAACGGAAATGTCAGTCTCCCGCCCTTCTATTTTAACAGGTAATAATTACACCTGGAATGCATGTAAATTGGCCACTTCGTCGTTGCAGTCTTTTAATGTACGCGAAAAAAACAACGTCCATAAAGTTTGTTTTAAAGAGAGCGATTTTTTTTTTAAACGAAGGTATGGGTCACTGGGTAATTGCCATAAAACTAATGCGTGTAAAATAAAACTATTTCGACGACACGTGCGTTGGTCTAACCTATTACGTGTTTATGAATTATCACGGCGTGAAAACTCTGAGGTCATATATTTAATTTTTTTTCAATAAAATCTTCAAAAAATAGGTATGTGTAGCAACGCACGGATACAATATAACATGGATAGTTCATACAATACCATGACAATACATGTATGTGTTGAGTATATCTCACCGTATATACACAGCGAAACCCATGTGACAACGACACCGACGACCTGCTGTGTAGACATTTCGCAATCCTATGAGCTGCATTACTTTTAATATACTCGTATTTCTCACTGAAAGGACGTGTTTCAAAATCAAAAATAAATTTTACCAGATATACTCTGCAGTAGGAGGCATCTTGTACAATCAACCACCCCGGCAAATTACAGCTGCGTGGTTGCTTAGTGATAGCCCATGCAAGACCGCCGAGCTTCCCTGTGACGTAATGGCCGCGCCATGGTTTCCATGGGAACAGGCAAATTTGCGTGTCTTTTTAGAGATTTCTCTATAATTTCTCGCATTGCGACTCTCTAATTTCAATCACGCGGTAAAATGTCCATCAAGCCATTTGCAACCATGTTGTCGACCACGTGATCCTACGATAACTCGGTGGCTGTAATTTAGCCACGATTTTTCCAACAAAAGACGACACGCCTAAACAACGTCAGTGGACTTCTGTAATGCTAAGAATTAGTTGTCATTTTCTCTCTCTCACCCGAGAACTTTAGATCGGACCTAGCTCAAGTCGTCATTTTTATTGTGGCCAATTCACTTAAAGTCTAATGATTAAAATAGTGAAGCGCAACATCATTATTACCTGTGTTCACACCTCCGAAAGAATAAACGACTGGGCCCTTAATAACCTATCGAGGCAGTGTCAATGTCAATGCATGCGTCTTTACACGTCGAATGTTATCAACCAATATTAACTTAGAGGCGCATAGACAACACATGTAAAGACCAAATTGTAGCCGCAGGGGGAAATAATACATTGGTGATAGTACACGGGAGGAGGGAGAATAAAAAAAAACAACAACGCGGACAAGATATAACATGCATGTTCGAGCTATCAGCCAAAACAAAGGGTTACAATTTACAAACAAATAGGGGCACACTATAGGATGAAATTTACGACAGGCCACTCCAGTAGGTGTCAATTGTCGCCATTCATCGTGATGATGTGCGACGACAACGACTCCCCTGCGGCAGGAACCAGTCGACGATTCCCACCATGCCTTCATGCTCTGTTGACTCGCGGGTAGCCAATGATTCTGCACGCTGAAAATCAAACTGAAATTAATTTGTTTTGCAAACTCAAAATTCAACCTTCAATAAATATTTCTCTGTCCTTCATCTCTCCACGTGTTTGTGTCTACTCGCTATCAACGTCATCATGATGATAACCCTCTTGGGTTTTTTAGGCTTTTAGGCAGTGTTTCCTTTCCTCCTCGTTTTTATTATTCTTTACCATCAGTTTATTCATTCACTGATGTTTTACTTGTTTGGAGATCTAAACGGTAGACGTTATAATAAACGTTGTTGTCCAAATCAGACAGACTCACAGATAACAGCGGGGGTATAGGACACAACACGCATTGTAGATTGCGTGCTATACACACTGCAAGACAAACACCACGCCTGTCATGAACACGATCGTCAATAAATCACCTGGCCACTCGCCACACTCATCTTCCCACCATACTCATTTGTTGTTAAAAAAAAACGACCATTGGCAGTCAATCGATCAGAAACACGGAAAAATCCATGGAATTAGTTAATTTCATAACTGCCACATTTCAGCGATATGAAATAAGCATTGATTAACTTGTTGGTAATTGGCAATTTGACCTGGGTTTGCTCGATACGTTAACGATGTTGCGACTTTAGATATGAAGACATGCCTCTGTAGTCCGGTGTGATACATACGGAATGTCCATGATAATTTGCGAAAGAGCTCCACAATGAAAAACCAAAACCCCTCCCTAACACCCCCCCCTCTATAACGTCACCGACAAGCTGACGTCTATGTATACATTTTTTAGAAGAACACAGTAACGAGTAATTCTGGAATTCAATTATAATTGTCAAAACACACACGCGAAATATCAAATTCCAGGCTTCCTGTTTGGCTCGACTCGACTAGAACGCAATCCGTGGGGTGAATTAAAGTTCGTGGGTCTTACATCGCCCACACAGTGACACATAAAGTAAACCTGCACACATTTGTATTGTACATCGCGACATTAACGCGATATACCTTAAAGGGCGGCAGTCGTCGCGCCGCGTCCTGCTCGATATGGGACTCATAGCGACGTATACAACGCGTGTAAAATGAAATTACATGAAATTCGAACACGCGCTGCGCGACGACCACCGCGCTTTAACATCCAACAATACCCGCAACCCTAGTACACGTGTTAATTTATGGAATATTCCGATTTTCCATCCGATCGCATTTTGTAATATGGAACCGAGACAAGAAGCGTCTTCTCTTTCATCGCCTTATCTCGTATCAGCCAACACAAGATATCGAGGCCTTGAGAGCGATTTTTCGAATACGTGTGTGGGTGGTGCTGAGCGGCGGTACGGCGGTAAATCATTTCCTGACAGTCTTACCAATACAGACACCTGTTGGATTTAATCCGACATCAATTTAAATTGACATTCTTACGAAAGACAAGGTGACATTGTGGATAATTGTCATTTTATTTGATCTCAGTACTCATACCAGCTCATATTATATTAGTCGTGAAACTAAAACGAAAATAGAAGGAATGAAAAATCAGCACATGAATACCAATGTTTGCCTTCCTATTATGGCGCACATCATTACACTGTGCTATAATCAGTCATTTCCACGCTGTACAATGAAAGAGAGGCTCTCATCCTGTTAAACCGTTGCTATGGAAACGTGCGTTCTTCAGAAATATAGCCCTCCAATATGCTACCACCAACGTAAAATAACTGCAACTGTGGTAGTTCTGGGTAATTCAGTACACTCGTTGGATTAAATCAGTGCAACTGTGGTTGATCTGGATAACTCAGTATACGCGCTGGACTCAATCACTGCAACTGTGGTTGATCTGGGAAACTCAGTACACGCGTTGGGCTCAATCACTGCAATTGTGGTTTATCTAGGTAACTTAGTACACACGCTGGGCTCAATCACTAAAACTGGTTGATCTGGGTAATTCAGTACACTCGTTGACTAAATCACTGCAACTGTAGTAGATCTGGGTAATTCAGTACACGCGCTGGGCTCAATCATTGCAACTGTGGTTGGTCTGGGTAACTCAGTACATGCGTTGGGCTCAATCATTGCAACTGTGGTTGATCTGGGTAATTCAGTACACTCGTTGACTAAATCACTGCAACTGTGGTAGATCTGGGTAATTCAGTACACGCGCTGGGCCCAATCATTGCCACTGTGGTTGATCTGGGTAATATATTACACACGTAGGATTAAATCACTGCAACTGTGGTAGATCTGGGTAATTCAGTACACACGTAGGATTAAATCACTGCAACTGTGGTAGATCTGGGTAATTCAGTACACGCGCTGGACTCAATCATTGCCACTGTGGTAGATCTGGGTAATTCAGTACACGTGCTGGGCTCAATCATTGACACTGTGGTTGATCTGGGTAATACAGTACACACGTAGGATTAAATCACTGCAACTGTGGTAGATCTGGATAATTCAGTACACACGTAGGATTAAATCACTGCAACTGTGGTAGATCTGGGTAATTCAGTACACGTGCTGGGCTCAATCATTGACACTGTGGTTGATCTGGGTAATACAGTACTCACGTAGGATTAAATCACTGCAACTGTGGTAGACCTGGGTAATTCAGTACACGTGCTGGGCTCAATCATTGACACTGTGGTTGATACGGGTAACTCAGTACACTCGTTGAGCTAAAACACCGCAACTGTGGTTGATACGGGTAATTCAGTACACTCGTTGAGCTAAAACACCGCAACTGTGGTTGATACGGGTAATTCAGTATACTTTAGACTAAATCATCATCATCACATTTTACTCTTCTCCACAGCCATAATGCAAGTCTTCTCGATACGGAGTCCGACTGTTGTCGCAATCAAGGGTGTCTACAGTGAGAAGTACCTAGCTATGGATAAAAAAGGAAATCTGTACGGAACGCCACACTGTCCGCATACGGTAAGAATATATATACCAATTTATGATGTCCATTGTCACAGTTTCACCGTGACATTGTCAGCGTTTCTCTAATACAGGAAGCAAACACAAGAGGCGGGGATGGTACTGGGACAAATAAGGGAGTGGGTTGCCATCTTTGTAGAAGGGAACATCGGCCTTGTTTAAATTTATTTATTATTTGTTGCCGAATGATCGTCAATATTTACATAGTATTGGGTCATCGGATAATACTCTCATAATTTGTCATAATTCTGTAGTTTCTGACAGCTTGATTCAATTTAGTGAGCGAAGAAACCCAAGTTATGTTGTCCTATAACTTTGCAGTATTTCACTAAAGATAAATCGTAGAGCTGTGAGGCGGTCTTGAATTACTAGTATTATTTGACGGAAAAGCAGCTCCCGAGGTCACACGATTTTCCATGCTGACACCGAATAACATTATACGATGATATTGAACAAGCATGTATAAATTGTTAAACTGTATATATTGTGGTTACACGTGGCGGTGTACATTACCCACACTTCAAACACTGTGTGAGTTTCCTGAGTACGGAAATCTCGGCGAACCCTATACACATATGCACGTGACCATCTCACCTGGCAAGCTGAAATAATTGAAACGAAATCGAGGTCACTACAGGCCGCGGATTGCAAATTTCATAAACTGACGGCGCAGTCAAGCGACAGTGATCCAGCTCAACAATTAGCGACGCGACGTACAAATGTTGACCTCTATGCCAAGTCAGGCGAAACAATAATTGTTCGGCTTGCTCCAGTGTTCTGACAACTATACACGATTATTGTGCATGGGTGGAGGTCGCGCCACGTCTGTTCGTCGCTGGTTCGGCCGCCCGAAATCACCCCCCCCCCCGCAGTAAAAGTGATTCGTTCTACGCGGAGCATGCTATAATAACGAGACTACATATATATAGCTTGTTATTTAAAAAAACTAAAATAGAACGTGCTGTGTTACTCATATATCCACCTTTGTGGACCAACAATACACCTCGCTATCATCAAAGAACCAATTCTCAAGAACGAATGACGCAGCATATGGGAGTACAAAAATGTTAAAAATAAAAGATAAATAATTTGACAAAATATTTGATCAAACCTGTCATTTCAAGCGAATACCCGAATCAATGTTGTGGGTGGAACCCCGAGTAGCGCGACAATCAACAATATATCGCCCACATCAAGAATAACAATACATGACATTATTGGCATTCCTGTTGGCATCCGGAAATTGACTACGTTCAAAAGAAAGGCGACAGAAATCCAGATCTAATTAAAAAATTAGTACTATATCGCGCATTTCGCCCCCTCCGCTTATGCGAGAATCGGAGAATTTGCCGTGTCGTTTCATTAAGCTATTAATTTAAACCACTCAGATTATTATTAATTTTTAACAGTTGTACCATTCATTACTTGGGCGATATTAATAATACTGTATACATTTAGGTAGTTTTACAAAAAAACATTATTGTTCGGATATTACACGGGCACGAAGCACGCTGTTTTGGCTATGTATCGAATAGAAATGAACTATTGGTTACATGCGTATCTGTGTACTATTTCGTTAAACGAATACTGATTAGAATGATACAAATTCGACGCTTTCACATTTGACGATAAAAAACGATATATAAATCGATGTACAAAAACACTGATAACAAGTTTAAGGAATCCTTACTATGTAATTAGCTGTCAGGCCAGCAAGTTATAATTTCAGTGAAATGTTACATGGCGCAAAAATCCAGGTGCCAAGCACTGAAAATGACATATTAACTCATTCTTATTTCAGTAATAGCTAACAGAGTGGATACGCTCGGGAGCATATGTTTTGATTTCCTCCCCGATGCACACAGAATCAAGACAAATTGCCCCAAACATCTATCCAGTCTAAATATCGTCTTGAATTATTCAGTAAAGAAATGTGCTTTTGTTCTGTGCGTTCCCTTGGGTTATACGGACTTCGTTTTAATTTCCTTGCTTGGCTGAACTTTCTTAGCGCGACTACCTTGTGACTTCCCTTGTTCTTTTACAAGGACAGGAAAATAGATAAGAAATGAGAAACTATGACCAGTAATCATCAATATATTCCCCCCTGGGACTTGTACGTAATTTAGAACAGTTGGCAGAGATTTTAGATTAATTGCCTTCATTTTTTTTTCAATTTCACAACTCCGTTTGTAGTGTTTGCGTAGCTGCCCGGATACAAGCTGTGTTATTATAATATTATAATCTAGTCGGTTTTCTATTTTCTCACTCCCTTTTAGCCGTGGAAGACGAAAAACTGTCATTTCAGTGAAGCCTTGAGCAAAACCAAATACAACACTTACTTCTCTGTCAAATACCCGCCGAAAAAAAAGAAAACAAAGAAACAGAGAAAGCGTCGACGTCCTGAAACGTATTACGTTGGACTTGGCAAGGATGGAAAACCTCTAACGGGGCCTCAAACCAGGTCGGGCAGGAACAGTGTGTTGTTTTTACCGCGGCCATTGGATGACAAGGCTAATGAATCAGCGAAAGAGTACCTGGACGGTCCTAAATGAATATACATTTACATTAAGTGTCAGTGATCGAATATATGAGAACGCTTTAGCATGTGTCTGCGAATGCTTGAAAGAATGGTGAAAAAGCCCAGCATTATCAGAATGTTAGAAGCCATTTGCCGATAAGCGGGACATTTTCCTCTTCCTGATTTACACCAAGTTCAAATTATAGGTTATTTAAAAAACGATAGCTGAGTGTATTCCTAGCGATGACTGTGCGGTGCAACATGGTGAAAGAAATGTTGCGTCACCTCCTATCATATTCAGAGTGTTCGACGTACGTGAACGCTTACTTTGTTTTATTGTGAAAACCCAACTTTTTTTTTCAAGTGACTAATCTTCAAGCAGCAGTGGTCATCATTAAATTCGTTGCTATTAAAAGCGTTGCTATGGGAACCTGCTGATAAATTTCAACGTATGTCCATGGTAGATGAAGCTGAAATAACCGACAGAGTTCTAATGGTGACGTAAGGCCGATTCTTTCTACATAGTTGGTTGAACAGTAAGGATGGTGATCTATCCTCCGGACTGCCAAACCGGGACCGAGTTTGAGCCCACTCCACTGGGAGTGGTGATGGATATCGTCGTACACACTCCTTGGGCACATATATCCCCATGTAAGCTGCACGGTAAATGTATTAAACAAAAAAAACAAAAAAAACAAGATATTAAATGAAAAAAATCAACCCTCTTTTTGATAATATAACTTAAAACGATACTCTGTATTTGTTGGTCCAAGTCTATAAAATAGATAATAGATAATATATAGGTATAGTTATTATATAATTATATAATCGTTATTATTACTAACACTTCCTCTTTTGTCCGACCCGGGAGGGGGGTTGTGAAGGTATAAAAAGTTCACGTCTCAGTCGAAACAACATTATAAGGGAATATTTGCTTGAAAAACAAATCTAAAACTCTGTTTTCAACTATAGCATGACTATAATAAGTACCGCCTTTAATATAATATTAATAATAATAATGATAATAAAAATAAAAACAGGCTAAATTTACATCCATCCAACATAGTGTCGAGTGGTGTATTTATATATGTATTTACATTGAAAACGCTGGTAGCTCAATATACTGAAATTGATACATCTATCGCCGGGTAATCGTCAAATTAAACAGTTACGAATAATTATGAAACCAAGCATATAAACCGTGTCGTGAAGCATTGCGTTGTTGTCGGAGACCTATTTGCGTGGGCCCCACGAGTTGATGAAATCATCAACTGACAGCCACTTTCCAGAATGTGCAAATTGCGTTTTTTTTTTGATCGGTTTGATCTCTGCCGCCGCCGTGTATACCTTTCCTGGCAAATGAGCTCAGCATACAGTACTGGAGACGGCATGGCGTCAAAAGATCGTTTGCATTAGAACTCAAATTATCGCTGTTTCCCATTTGCGAAATGCCAAGAGACCGAGCGTTTGCAAAATTGATCACCGTAATGCCACAATCGGAAAGCGGGATCTCGTAATTTGAGTCGCAGCAGCCACACATTCCCAGCAAACGTGAGTGGATTAAACAGATATTAAAATAAAATCACCGCCTCAGTGATATTTACCAGAATTACCATTTTGTTTACAGACATCCTATAGAGGTATTAGGCTGAAGGCATAGGAAGAGTTTCTACAAAAATAAATAACAAATCCCTGTTCACTCTCATGAAAAAAAAACCGCTGCCGTTTTAGTGTGGCAATTGCTTTATGCTAATCAGTATACATGTCACCTTATTTGGAATATGAGATCATCTGCCGATACTTTAAACTCATGACCTTTACTGATAAATTTATAAAAGTCAACTGATATTGATCATTGTAAAAAAAATTACCTCACTACCAGATTAAACGATTACTGTCGGCTAAAGGAAGAGCCCCCATCAGCGTTTCGCAGTCCCATCAAAATGCCGCACAGTCAGTAGAGTCACATTGCCTCAAATATTTATATATAAATTACCGTGTATATATCATATATATATATATATATAACCTCATATTCCTAGTAATTCCAATTTTAGTATTACAACCTTGTAAGTTGTCTTGTCTCGTGCAATGTTCATCGTCAAACTATACGTGCGGTGGTTTCAATTTATTATACTGAAAAAACACACACATACAAGTTTAAAAGGAAGATAGCATACATGACGGTACCATGGCGTGTACCAGCAAGGGGCGCTCTTGTGTATTATTTTTCTCACGTACAAAGTAAAGAGAACCTCAGAGAACCCACCGTGTAGTTATACTTATAGATATGAATACATTATACAATGGTAGAAATAGTAGACAACTCGGGCCTTTAGTGAACTTTGACCTGATGTTATTGGTGGCAGTCGAAGCTGTCATAGTGCTAGCTCGTGTGTACAGGTAATTGTACCCTGGACCGAACGGGAAAAAAATTGAATAAATTTACCGAGATCTTATCAATTTTTTTTAAAATAAATAAATATTGAAATTGTGGTATTCCCGAGGTGTGTCTCACCACAGTCACTCTACTGGGAGAGTGACTGTGGTCTCATTTACGCAAACTATTTTCCCGCGTATGAATACTTGTGTCCAGGTGAAGTGAGACGGACCAATAGGGATTCATTATAGAGGCAAGAGCTGCGTTTTTGTTGTTGTTTGTTTACATGTATTTCGCATATTTGTTTTAAATTCGTGTACTTCTAAGCCACAATTACTTTGTTGGAACCAACTGATTCAACAGTGGGCAATGGGTCACGCATCGTGGCATACATTTATAGTAACAGCATGTAAATAGCCAGAAAATGTTAATTTTTTTGGAGAGCGACCAACAATTAATTTTCCAGTTTTCTATGTACTGTTTGCATATTCGTAGCGCAAACACGTCTTCATTCGGACATGTTGGCTCAATTGTACATTGATTAACAAATACCAACAACTTGACATGACATCACGCAGCTATTTTATGTAACGTTTTATGTATATTTATTCAAATTTCTTGTTCAACTGTATATTCAGAGTGCAATCACATACATACACACTGCATCAGTTACAGTATTTGACTTGCCCCTTAAAGCGGGGGAGT